GCAGACTGCGAAAGTAAGGTCATTTAAACTAAGTGCAGATCCTCATGCTTTGGCTGAAGATCTGCATGAGAGACCCAGTGGGATAGTGAAGAAAAGCTATAAATGGCGTTTAAGTGACAGAAGTAATTTGATCTGCGATCTGTGAACTAAAAGTCAAAGGACCTTACCTGGACGCTGACAACTATTACTAGACTTGTAGCAACAGTGACAGCAAAAGACTGATAGTCCGCTATGTGCTTTCCATCCTCTGCAGCTGTATTAAAAAATGCACCAAACGGTATAAAGAACAGGGCAAAAGAGGTGTAAATTCCATGTAACACACAAATAAAAAATCTCCGCTTGTTGAATAGTAGATTCAGTTGGCCAGGCTCATAGAGTTTAGTGTAGTCCACACAATTCTGTTCATTCACATCCTACAAAGAGATTCATGTTTAACCATATTAATAAGGTAAACACATTCTACACAAGGCATTTCATCAGAATTTTTTTAAAGTTTAACTTTGTTTCTTTTTTAAATTGATACACGATTCACAAGTGCAATACAAGTTATTTTGTAATTTGCTGCTAATAAAACTGCCTTTACATTACAATCTGCTGTCATTCATGATGCTTCGTAACTGCCAAATAAAATTCCCATTTCTCATCTGCAAACGGCAAAATCCTTAGCTCCCTTCCTGCACCTGTAACCGCCTCATTTCCTCTCCTACAGAACTATGCACAGATGTGAACTAACGGTCCCAGAGCAGTAAAACTAATGAAGCAATTCTATATTGATTCCTGTTATTTATAATTTAGAAGGCTGTTGTCATTGAAAGTTTAAAAAAAACACATTTTCTAGTCCACACATTTAAAAGGTAGCAGTTTTGCCACAGTCAATGCAGCTTTGGAATTGATTATTTTGTAATCTTCACCCTCCCACATGGCACTTATTGTGGAAAATGTTGGCAGCTGTATTGCTCAATATCTACATTATCAAACGTGGTGGGAATCTGCAGTGACATTTGCTAAAATTCTTGCAATGTACCGTATTTTGCGCTCCATAAGGCGCACCGGACCATAGGATGCAGGGAGGTCCGGTGGGCCTTATGGAGCACTGAACAGACCGGAGCTTCTGTCACAGCTGCTGTGACAGAAGCTGCAGTTAGTGACCGCTGAGACAGGTGGCGCTGTTATTACAGCGCCATGGTCAGCGCCATAGGATGCAGGGAGGTCCGGTGGGCCTTATGGAGCACTGTATTTCCCCCCCCCCCTTTTGGGGGGGAGTGCGTCTTATGGAGCGAAAAATACAGTATATAGTTGACCTTGGAGGATTTATTTCTATTAATACTAACGTTTTTTCAAGCACTTTCGGGGCCACGCAGGGTCCCCTTCATCAGGCTCAGAATGACTGAGCCTGATGAAGGGGACCCTGCGTGACCCCGAAAGCACTTGATGACACTCTGAGTGATGACTGACATCAATAAATGGATTTGCACTGACGTTTAAGTCTCTGTCGTGACGTTTGTACACAATTTAGCTAACCCATAGTGCACTGGAAATTCTCTGACACATATTAAATGTATGTATTTGTAAAACATATTTGTAAAACAAAGTTTGTGTACATATAGTAAAAACACAGAATTAAAGCAGATGTTTTACTGTTTTAATTAAAACAACTAAAAAAAAAATGTAATCAAAGCCCTTTTATTATCTCTTTAAAGTGAATATCCTGCATAGAGCAAACAACTAAAAAAAAAATTTAATCAAAGCCCTTTTATTATCTATTTAAAGTGAATATCCTGCATAGAGCAGACATAAGATGACCTGCAAACTGCTTCTCCACTGTCCAAACCAACTTTCTCAGTAGCCAGCAAGGGAACCATCACTGGTGGTGCAAGTGGAGGCAATCAGCAGAGTTTAGGCATAAAGTCAGGAAGGATCTGGCCCTGGTAACAAAAATGATGATAGAAGGGCAAGGCTAAAAAAGGTAACAGTAAATATCTTTAAGTCATAATATCCTACCTGATCAAACAGCCCCATGGCTAGGACAGGAAGTGATGTATATACAATATTGAACAGTGTAATAAACCACTGGTCATAGACTGTCTGTAAAAAAAAAACACACAGGTAGAAAAGTGAATGAATCATTCTGAATTAAGTGCACACAATGTATATGTAGACTTGCCAAATGTTCATCTAACTTTGATGGTCTGGATATACACCATACTCGCAGGAAGAGCATACGACATTATCTAAAATATGGTATATATGGATGGCTATAATTTTTCAGAATAGCTCATCTATTCATTCTTATAAAATCGGTCACAAAAGCAAACATATGCCAGCACTGATGAGCCTTAATTGTGAGTTACATAAGTAGCGACAGAGATTAAATCTGATAATCACAGTTGAAAGGACGATGTTAGAGAAATGGGGGTCCCTGTTTTGGAGGTTCAGGTCACTAGTTCTTTTGCTTAATGTCAGAAAGCTCTTTAGTACAACACAGTTTTTTTTTCTGCGTACACACAACAGGATGGCCATTTGCCCCATTAGGGTACCCTCAAATAACTGCGCTACCTTTAAATTTTATATGTTGACCGGGAAGATTGTAGGGCTAACAACAATGCTGTTTGATGCTGTTTGGGAAAAAACAGAATCTTCTATCAAAAGAAAAAAACTCCCACTTACACAGAAAACCCTGGCTCCACTTTAAATGGAATTGTTGTTTTTTAAATTATAACTTCTTTATCATTTTTAATAATAACTGCATTGATTTTAAAATGTATGGATGCTTCACATTTTGTTTGCAGCAACAGGTAGAACTCATGGAAGTTCAAGGCTTTCAGGATACTCTTCCCTAACTGTTAGACTAAAAACTGAAAGCTTAAAAGTACACAGGAGGCACCGCACCAAGTAAATTATGCCACTGCTCTCCTCCCAACAGTTTGATTAATGGCAACAGGGGCCTATCACTACAATGTCCTTAGTACCCTCCTCCATAAACCAGATGTTGGGGGAACAGTACAGAACGTCCTAAACCGAGAGGCAGTGACAAAACATAAGTGTTTGGGGACAGGGGAGCATAGAAAAAAATGCATTCATATAAAAAAACGCCTAGCTTTTAGTAGTACTTCAGCCATTTTCAAGTTTCCCTCTAACTTCACAGTAAAACGTTACCCTCACTAGGGCTATGTTATCATTGACAGTAACTTATTTTAAAATTTTGCAATGCTAATCACATAAGGCGATATATAGCTACAAAGTTTACAAGCTTAAAATATATCTACAACTTTTTTCTGTTAGTTTAGAATAGAGTAGGGAAAAGTTAAGACCCCTGATAACTTGTTTTTCTCTCTATTGCATTTGGGAGAATTCCCTTTACATCATGAAGTGGGAGGAAATCCCTTCTTACACAGATGTCACTGGCACAGGTCTCCACTGTCTACTGTTCTGGGGACAACCAAAAGGTTCCTAAATTTTCTATTCCTTGCTGTGCTATTGAGAAAGGTCAGTCACCAGGACAAAATTGAGAAGGTGAATCTCCCCAGTGGAGGCACAGACAGCAACAAAGGCCTAGAGCTGCAACAGTTAATCGATTTAGTCGATTAAAATCGACGATTGAAAACGTTACCAACGTTTTCGATCGTCGATTCGTCGGCTATCAATTGATTTCCCTGTTCGGGGCTCTACACGCGGCCTGAAGCACACGTCACACGCTGCTCACGTACCGCTGCGCCCGCCGTGTTGGCCTAATAAAAACAAAAAAGTTTTAACCTTAGATACACTTTAAGATCTTCATGTTAACACTAGTTGTTCCATAGCAGCTAATGATCAAACAAACTACTCCAATCTGTTTTTCAAAGTCTATGCCTAAACATAATTTCTAAACCTTGAAATCAGTGTTTCCACATTGTATCCTGTGCTTTAAACATAAAGAAACGACCAGATGTTTCATATGAAAACGATAAAATCAAGAGAGATATTTTTTTCTAAGTGACAGCAATCTGGCTAGTTCACAAAAATCCAGGTAATTGTAAAAGTGATGTCAAAACCCTGATAAGCGACAATAGATCAGTAAAATCAAAGGGTCAAGTAAATAACAGACGAAATGTCTACACACAAACTACAAGAAAGAGTCAAACAGGTAGATTTAATAGTGTACTAAGCAATACATTTTTGTAATCTTTTCTTTTTAGGTATTGACATCAGTCATTTGGAAAGAGTCCTCTCTGTTAGAATTCATAGTAAAGGTAAAGAGCATGAGCCTGATTTAGATATGACAATGAAGTCACACAGTCTATGTAATTCTTTCTGCTATACAAGTGGTTTACATTCAGACAATCTCATTTTATGACTTACTATTCTCAAAGTTTAGGTAATGAACAATGATGCAACTATTAGTAATACATCATTCAATGGATGTGCTATTTTTCCTATTTTGGTCTCTTCTCAAACCAATAAATTTAATCAGCGACTGCCAAGTATTCTATTTGTGTATGGACCAAAGTGGTTGCTCCAGCTAGTTCTCTGTATGTAAGGCTACCTCTACTGATACAGCATGCCAACTTAATTTCATAAAAATAAACCACCCAAGGAGATAGCTTTCTTAAAACTTAGAAATGCCTTTTTCTTAATTGGATAATTAATTTCAGACTTGGGGGGGGGGGCGGATCAGTTTTAATGTATGAGATGCTATCAATAACAAATGATGTCTACACTCAAGTTAAAAAAAACAAAACAGACAGCACATTGCTTAAATGGAAGATCAACCTTAGAGAGAGACAAAGTTAATTCTTGTTCTGAAGCCAAGTCTGTGTTTTTTCCTCTTGTTTTAGCATTGGATAAAACATAAAATATATTTTACACTAAACTAAATTTAAAAAGACATTTAGGGGAATGTATAAACTATTATTTCTACTTTATTTTTGCAGGAATCAAAGTGACATTAGTGCCACTGATATATGCCACAATGGGACAGCTTCCGCACCTATCACGCTCACTAAAAATGTCAGGATACGGGACATGGTCCATTTATGGTGGCATAAAGATGTGCAGAGAAGGAGCTCTGTGGCAGTGACTGCACTACAGTCTGCAAGGCTGGAATCATAAATAATGAATCTGCAAATGGTCCAAATGATTATGAGCAAACTCCTTAGTGCAGGACGAGGTATCACCTCATATATTGTAGCAGCCCTCAAATCAGACTTGGGAAGAGGAAGCAAAACGTATTACAGCTTGACCATGGAACGCCACTTGGGAAAACAAAATGCAAGCCTTAGAGAATCAATACCATATGAAACTACCAATCTACAGGCTGCACAAGCCTATAAAGACTGCCATATGAGGATGATTTAGAGGACCAAAATAGGTGTAATAATGTTAAACTCAGGGGGATCCCAGAGGCAACATGCAATGCTGATTTAATTGTGACTGGCATCTTTAATCTCTTAACCCGTCACAGCAGAATACCTGACAGGGTTTACAGGGCCATGTTACCAAAACCTCCTGATTCCAAAAGACCATGCAATGTTTTATGCTGGGTGCAATTTCCACCATAATAAAGGAGATTATAAGGGAATTCTGGGGAAAAAATGCCCATTTGCGTTTGATGGGCCTGAGATCTGTAGTCTCCCTGACCTTCCTAAGTGGTCCTTACTCATGAGAGCCATGCTGAATCCACTGTTGGAGCATGCGCACACAGGCAGGGCATTGCTGGGGCTACCCCTTTCACTTACAGATTCATAGACACACACAGTTCCCAACCAGTCACAAACTTGCTTCCTTCGCTGCTCTCCTCCCAACAGTTTGATTGATAGTACCTCAGAGAGAGGGTACGTAGGAGCCGTGCGTCCATGGGGCTTTAAAAAGGCACAAAATTAGCCCTTGCAGGGATAAGCAGCTTACCACAATGGGCACCTCTAGCTCCCTGTGTCAAGGTTATTTACCCAATGCAGATTGACCTTTCTTCTGGTGGGGCCTGGATCAATCCTGATGGCTGCTGATAGGTGCCACAGTGGCTGCGAACAGCTTGGAAAAAATTGCTAGAATACTCGAGAGAAAGGGTAGACAATTATGTGCTTCTCTCAGAGCAGAGAGGTGTCCATCAATTAAGGACAATAGCAAAAAACTGAGGCAGGCTGGGAGTGGGAGGGGTTATACAGAGACATCCTTACAGCGTTAATTTTCCAGTTTCCAATGACCTGAAGGTAATGGCATAAACCTTTGGTTCTAGAATTAACTACCTGTGTCATATGATCAAGAAAAGTATATATATGCGCTACAATAGATTCTTAGTTAATAAAATAACATGTATCATTTAAAGGTAACGTCTGTTGAAAGCAATATGGAGGGTGGTGTGGCCTACCTCGCCTAGAAAGTGCTGACCAGGCAATAAACATTTTAGAAACCGAGGACAACAATTGTCGCCTCCATAATCAGGTTTAGGGGCCAGTGTTGAAAGACTTTTGTTTCCTTCACAACTGCTTTTCTCCTTATGCAAGTCTATGAGAATTCTAAAAAGACAGGTCAACCGCGCTTGCATTGGTTTCTAAATAATTTCTGAAACTTCTCAAACTGATGTCAAAAGCATGCTGCCTTTTGAAGTCTGTCAACATTAGGTCTTACTGTGCTTTATCTGCACAATTATTCCTGATGAACAACAGTTCAGATTTAAAACTGGTAAAGATGGGTTTTCAATAAGATTAGCCCATGTACTGTTTTCATGTGAATGAAGGTGAAACATTACCACTCACCTGGGCTGAGAAGCCACAAAAGAATCCAAACCAGAAATGAACTAGTGTGAAGGCAAAGTTTTTATAGAAGAAATAGCAGAGGAATTTGCACATTCGGAAGTAGGACCAGCGGCCATGAACTAGAAGAAGTCTTTGCAAGTATCTAAACTGAGCAAATGAGTAATCACTGGCCAGAACAGCTTGCATGCCCTCTTGTCCACTGATGCCAACTCCTATATGAGCACCTGCAATTAACATGTAAAATAATAAATTAAAATCACAATAAGCACTGAGAGATAAAAAACAAACAAATAAACTAATCCTACTAGCAGCTGTATATCACAAAAACTGTAAATCACAAAATTATATTATTTGCATAGAACTTATGAAAGTGCTCAGTGCAATCCAAAGACAATAATTGGCTTAAATAGTGCTAATAAAAAAAACATTCCAGTGCAAACACGTGATAAAGAGCAAAATGTTCAATTCATTAATTCATCCAAAAGTGCTCTGAAGAAATCTCAGGGGGAAAAAAAAACGCCCATGATTTCAATCTTCAAACAAGCAAAAAGCAACATCAGGTAATTTAAAAGTAAAATTACACTTTTATCCACCATCAGATGAAGCAAACTCCCCAGGCTGACGTGTCCAGTGATGGACAAAAATGCTTAAATCAACTCTTCCTTGAAATAGCTCTGGTCACAGGCTCTGTAGCATATCATTCCATGTATAATAAAATCAGGCAGAAACAGATCATAGGGTAACACCAACTATTGAGAATACCTTTAGGCACAAAAGCATAAAACCACTTACAGTGCTCCACCCAGCACTGAAGATATGACAGTATAGGTTTGCATAGGGAAAAAGGACACCACTCACTGCAGATTTCTACAGAGTGTGTGTGCCTTCACCACCAGTAGGTGATAACAACATCGTGTGTGGCTCTGCATGTTTTATCAGCCGTCTTCATTAATTTAACTGAATGAACATTTTGCACTTTACTGAACGGTGTTGTTTTTTTATCACTTTCTAAATGGATTTATTACTTAACCACTTCAAGACCAGGTGTTTAGACCCACTTCCTGGCCAGGCCATTTTTCAGTATTACGAGCTGCGGTACTTTGACTGACGTTTATTCCGTCATGCAACGCTATACTGAAATGAATTTTATACCATTTTTTGGGGACACATAGAGCTTTCTTTGGGTGGTATTTAATCACCACTACCGGTTTTATTTTTTACTATAATTAGGAAAAATTACTGAAATTGTTTTTTTTTTAAAAGTTTTTTTTTACATTGTTGAAAACATTTATTATTAACCAGTTTTTTGGTAAATAAAAAAAAGTCGGGGTCACGTCGGTTAAATAGACACCAAACATGTCAAGCTTTAAAATGACGCGCACCCGCAACATCGCAGAAAACGACCATACCCAAAATTGGCCGTAGGCAACACGTTAACCCTTTCGCTGCCAAGCCCTCCGGAACATTTTTCAAATCAGCTGGCCAAGCCATTTTTGAATTTTCTGCAATTTTTTCCTATTGGTTTGATTTTCAACTGCTGCGTTGCTAGCGTTTGTAAAAGACCCCCCAAACCATATATTTTCTGAAAGCGCAGGCCCGGTAGAATAAAAAGATGGTGATACTAAATTTGTAGGTCAGGGGTGGAAAACAACGGAGGGGGGGGCGCACCGATCGTTACCCCATACAAGCCATGGCTTGTATGTTAACAGGCATTGCTGCCTGTTTTAAAATTTCGCCCATTTCCCGCTCACGCGTGCCCAGCGGCGCGCGCGAGGGGGCGTGTCTGAGCGGTGTATTTTCACTTTTGTGGCCAAATTTGAGAAACCCCCCACTATATATTTATTATGTGTTTCCATTCACACAGCATGCATAAAAATAATAAAAAGAAACATCTTATCTTTCTAGCTGTCTTTTTGACTCTACAGGCAGCTTATAGTGGTTAGAAAAGATGCCAGTGAGCAGATAAGGGGATAGACTGAAGGACAGAATTGTGTGCATTAACATACAATGCCTTGAGATCTTTAAGGCTGCATACACACCTGGGCGACATCATTTTCACTAATTTCTATGCGCGTTTTCGCTGCACGATTGTGACACGCTGATGTAAAACACGCAAGGTAAAGACAAACATGCGTAAAACATGCACAAAAACATGCAAAAATACAGTAAATGAGCGATTCTGAGCGATTTAAGTCTATGGGGCCAAGAAGCGCTTAATCTACCAAAAAGAAGCTCATGTACTTTTTTTCCACCGACGGGCGTTTTGCTACAATTGACAAATCGCTCAGATGTGAACATGGCCATAGAAATAAATGGGGCTTTGTTTTTGACAGTTTTTAGGGCAGGAAAAGCACTCCTGCTCACTTAGTTTACAATTGATGATCAAATCTGCCAGCACAGTACACAGTCCCACAGAGTGAGAATTAAGCAGGATTTTTCAGTCCTGGAGCTTTTAGAAAGAGCATCTAAAAAGATAAGCTGTAGTTTATACTGTATATATGTTTCTTTAATGCTATGTGTTAGGTGAATGGGAACATGTGACACATATAAAGTAGGTGTTATCCCGACTTGGCTGCAAAAGTGGAAATACACTTTAAGTACATTATTATATTTGGATTGCACTGAGCACTGTTTGATAAGTTATATCAGTTATATCAGCACCGAGCAGAACAGAAAAAGAGTGAAAAAAGTAGAAAAAAGTTAATAGAAAACGATTGTGCAGAGCTAGCAGTGACAGCTAGCTCCGCCCAATAGTTTCCTATTGTCCGGCGGCTCTGCTGCTGTAAAAAAAAAAATGAATGGTCACAACTAGGTCTTATTTTCGGGGTAGGTCTTATATTTTAGCAATTCCCAAAAATAGTACTAGGTCTTATTTTTGGGGTAGGTCTTATTATCGGGGAAACAGGGTATACCGTATCATAACAATAACTCTGCATTGACTTCATATTAATATTGCAATGCAGTAATCAAAAGCAAAGACAAATAGACACACGATCATTTCCAGGATAATACATGCCACAGATCAGCAAAACAGTGAGTACACAGGGGATTTCTTTTTCTGGTTAGATGAGAGTTCTGGTTAGTTGAATACCGGATAACTGTATCTATTGAAACAAATAGTACTAGAAAAGTGTTATTATATTTGAATGGATGAGCTGCAATACCAGATTTCACATACATTCATAATCAGAGAATCTGTTTACAGAAAAATAGCTACATTTTTATTTAAAGTGATAATAAAGTCAAAAGGTTTTTAGGCTATTTCAAATGCTGATTAGATAACTTACAATGGATCCTGCTCCTTCATGTTTAAAAATGTTAGTTTCCTGCAGAATCAGCTGGTCTGCTGAGGACTGGCCCTGATATTCTGTTTAAAAGTGGCTCTACCTTTGTGTGTGCTAGTAAGCTGTGTGTCTCCACAAACATACACGCACAGCAAGGCAAGCCACTTCCCTCCTCTCTTCTCCCCCAATGCTCCTTCATTCCTTCTCCAAGCAAGCAGATGGATGGCAGCTGGAGACTGCGCTCTCCCGTATGATCTTGTACTGGACAGGAAGTTCAGGGAAGCAGAGCTATGAGTTGGAGCCAGCTGTTTGGAAACATGATGACTAAGTACTTTGGCAAAAGTTTAAAGAAACACTTTGCTGGGTAATATATATTTGTTTGATCTGGGTTCATATTGAAAAAAGAGATCGTATTCTATTTTAGAGTACTTTTAATATTTAGTTGAAACAACATTAAATTAGCAACCTCTGTATTAAATTGCTTACTCTTGATCATACTGATATCATTGGCGCCATCCCCAATGGCCAGAGTAACTGCTTTTTTATACTTTTTCACTAGTTCCACCACTTGCGCTTTCTGAAGAGGCGTCACTCTGCAACAGATCACAGTCTTGCACATGCATGCAATCTCTAGGAATTCTTTCTCCATGTCTGCTTCTAAGGCGTGCGCCTGTAGTAAAGATAAGTATTCTCCATTATTATGTACTTCATGGTTTAGCAAAACTAACTTTTTTTACAATGTTTAAGAAAATCATAATAATACTGTAATCACATCATTGTTGCCTAGAAAACAGAAGGTATTTACAGGTTACCAAGTAATGAAACCAAACAAATAATTACTTTATGTACCGCCGGGAATTCCAGTTTGACCCATAAACATTTAAATATCCGTTTAATAGCACGTCACATATACGTTCTGGGGCCCCACTTCTGCCAATGCATTGGTCAATGCATTTATAGATAATATGCCCTAGAGGTAAACTATCACACCCACTTCTAGAGTTTGTGAATACACCAGCATCTATACTCTTCTGAGATGATCAGCACCAAACCCATACAACAATTAAAGTGTATATAAAGCCAACATTTTTCCATTGTAGAGTAATATCTAGCGTTTAAACCTTTGACAGGATTTTATTGCCATCAGTGTCCCAGCTGGAGAAATGCACACTCTCTATTTGTCTTAATGACCATTGTTACCAGGCCTGAATGTGGTAAAAAAAAAAAAAAACAATTTTGGAATAGGATTACAATGGATTACAATTCTGAACCTGATGAAGGCCCCGAAAGTGCTTGCATTTATGACAAACGTGTCATTAAATGTATCTTTATTCACGTTTATACTGGAGTGCTGGTGACGTTCTTGGACTTCATGATATTGCACGGTGCCCTCCTTGGTCATTGCAAGCACCCACCTGGATCAGACAGGTTTTCATTTTATCCGGTAAGGAGTGCAGCAAGATACATTGATACGCTACAATGGAAAGATAACACAATATAAAGGCAAGTGCTTATCTGCTAAAAGCTAAGGAATGCTGCAAGTTTATTCGTGCACTTCTAAATTGCACCAAATGTCCAGGCAGTGGGGCATATTTTATATATTCCACTGACAGTAGGCATGGGGTGACGGGATTGGGGATGTTTCCAGGAGCAAGGAACCTTCTAAAAGTGCATATGTATACATTTTCCCCAAAACAGAAGACTACCATTATGGAAATTCACAATAGGCCTTGTTATAGCAGCAGTGCCAGTTTTGGAGAACATTACATTTAATGACAGTATAAATTACATCTCTGGTAGCTTGATTGCTCTGCTAAAAAGGCCTTCTGAAAACAATGATCTTCATTAAAATTAAATCACTGACAACATTACACTCTTGGCATGTCTAGTAACACTTCATCTCTGTTAACTCAGCATCTAGTAATATCACAACTCCAGTCATGTAACATTATCAATAACTAGCATTGTAACTGTTTTATTACAGCAATTCTAGTACTTAACATTGCATATGCAATACAGAACTCTCAAAGTTATATTGAAGTCAAAAGGTTTTAAGCTATTTCAAAAGCTGCTGCTTTATGTGTAAAAGTTTTCGTTTCCTGAAGAAGCAGCTGGTCCCCTGAGCGCTGGCACTGATACCCTGTATAATGGTGGCTCCTTTTCCTTTCAGTGTCCTATGGAGCCACCCTTGTGTGCGTTGTAAGCTGTGTGTGTCTCCACAAACACATAGGCAGAGCAAGGCAAGGCACCCCCCTGCTCCCTCTCTCCTCCAAGTTAGTAGATGGACAGTTGCTGGTGACTTTGTTGCCCCTTGGGCTTGTACTGGACAGGAAGTTCAGGGAAGTGGAGCTGAGAGAGTTGGAGCGGTACAGAAACATGATGACTGTAAATGTTTGGGCACATATATAAATAATTTGCTGGGCAATGTATATTTGTTTCATATGGATTAATACTGAGAAGATTTGAGTTTAATACTACTTTAATGTAGCCTAACTGGTAAAAAATATTCACTTCCTGTAACTGTACCTCTAGCTTCTGTAACATGACACCTGTAATAACTAAGCACCTCTGGTAAAAGAGCATCTATATTAACACTGGCTCCTGGAAACATAGCATTTCTAGTAAAAATGTTACTCTAATAAATAGTATTTCTAGTTTTATGTGGATCAGAGCATGATTGGTCAGTGGGAAGGATTTATGGTACTTGATGGTCTACAGGTTCCTAACTCATCAATCTGTTCCTGAGCACATATATACCCTATCATAAATAAAAGCCATACATTTGACTACCAAATAGTTGTTACAGAACTATAGGTCTTCATCAGTGCAAACTATTAACACAACTGGGTGTATGACATAGGGCTTGGGTAGTCAAAAGAAACCAAAGATCACTCCAAGAGAACACTGAAATACAGACTTGCCTTCATAAAGTGACACTAAACTCAGAAATTAAACCTTAAAAATGCATTCAAGCATCCTATTAGCAAAAATTTAATTTATTTCTGCATCACTCAGCAGTAGATCCTCAAATCATCTCTGGATTTGTGCGGATACTGTTCTTCCTTCTGGAGGATGGTTACTTTTGTTCCCCATGGTCCCCGTGTGTGTTGTAAAGTAGCCACCGCTCCAAGCTCACTCCCATGATAGGCTACAATCTTATGATTAGTTTACCAATTCGTATTGAGATTGTAGTCCATCATAGGAGTGAGCTTGGAGCGATGGCTACTTTACAACACAAACACAGGGGAACACAAGGAGCCAGGGCTGTAGCTACCATGGGGCGAGTGAGGCCCTCGCCCCAGGCGAAGCCCCCAGAACCGCCCCCCCACACACACACACACACTATTAGACATGTGCAAAGACTAAATGAACAGAAACTAAAAATGTTTTCATTGGTTTCGTCAAACGAAACACATTTTTATGCTATTTGGTGCCGCCATCCTGGAGGCGGGGCGCATGACGTCACATGGCGCCGTGCGTGCGTGGCATAGGGTGACATAACACGTCTGTTGGGGGGCACAATTTTCTGTTCTTGCGCAAAAGGAGCTAACTAAGGCTCTGCAAGGAGCCACCCTCCAGAAGGAAGGACAGTGTCAGCATGAATTCAGAAATGATTTGAGAATCTACAGCCGAGTGATACACAAATAAGATACATTTTTGTTAATAATTTGGGGGAATTGAATGCATTTTTAAGATTTAACTTCAAAGTTTAGTGTTACTTTAAAAAGATGTTGCACACACATTTGGCACGATTTGAAATATATACTGTATGTATCCCTATATTGGATAGTGCCAAATGTGTGTAACGTCTTTGTTATATATATA